GAGCATGACTCATAGCGACCCTACGAACAAAGGCCTGAAGCCCCTCTACAACTATCGACATTTATCAAGGTTCATAGTGTTTCCAGAGGCATGTTATTTAGGAAGTGGATGCCACTCCTGCTTCCAAATATATGGTGGACAGTGTTTGGTGGAGCTCCCTGATTAAAACAAGCTTGGAAGCAGGAGCGGCATCCACTTCTGAAATGGCTTGCCTCTGGAAACTCTGTGAACAGTGCTCATGTCTTTCGTTCATAGGGTTGCTGTGAATCATCTACGACTCGACGGAACCTAACCACAACACAACATATATATGTACATATACCATAAACATTTGTACGTGTTCCCACCCAAATGATCAGCTTTCAAAAAGCATTTGGCTAATTAAATACACCAAAATAAAATACGGATTTCCATGCGAACACGAAAGGGCCCCCAAAGTCTAAGTGCTTGGCATAGAAGCATCCACCAAGGATGTGCAAGACACATTCCATTTTGTCTGGACCCTAAATAAGTAAATAAGAGGCCTTCAAGCTGAGCTAACAATGGATTGATCTGCACTGACTCAAAGAAAATCAAAAAGAAGAGGAAAAACTGTAGCAACCCTCATCATTGGAAGAGAAGTCAAATTCATGTTCACAAAATGCTTTGCAGGTGAGATCCAGAACAAAATGCCTACAGATACATGCCCTAGAGCTACTGATACTAATGACTGTTCCTTCCCTAAACATCTCCCATATAAAAACCTTTCTCATTTTCTGTGCTTTGGAGCCATTTGTAATATTCCAGCTTGGTGCCTGACTGCAAGTGTAGCATCCCCTCTATAAATCTCTTCTCTTAGGGAGCACTGGTGGGCTAGTGGCAAGACACTGCACCGCAATCCCAGAGGTACGTGGTTCAAATCCACCAGTTGTTCTGCTGGAGAAGGAGGGAGCAATCTCCTCCTGTACCAGTCAGATCCGATTTGACAGTACACGTAAAAATAATACAATAAAAAAAAAATCTCTTCTCTTTTCTTTTTACGTAGTCGACATTCTTACAGGTGGAATTGACTATAAGAAGTAAGTGCTTTCTCATGAAAACCTCACTCTGGCATCTGAGACCACTGAGTTCTAAGAGATAACAGTTTGGGGAAGTCAGTCTTGTACTTTGATGACTTATTATATTACATTCCCAGATCCTGAGAGACACACTTTCAAGTAACAGCTCCATTTGGGAACTACTTTATGCACCTCTCTAGTCCATAATATTAAGCTGGTTCTCATTTCTTTATAGTTTAGCTCTTCTCTTGGGCTCATTCCAGGCACACCAAGAGCGACACTGGGACAGGGAGAGAAGTGGTAGGAGGCCAGAGGATTGTCTGACATCTTTTTAGTCTCTGAGTGGTGCATACGGTTTGCTCTCAGCTACTAACTAACCACATGGCTAATGGTTCAAACTCCCCTAGCAGTGCCAAGGAAGAAAGGCCTGGCAACCAAGTTCTGTAAAAATCACAAACCAGAAACCCTTGCAATGCAGTTCTGACAGGTAACACATGGGGGCATCAGGAGTTGAGACAGATGCACTGGCTGGTGGACAGTACCTCTGGTGGTGTTTTTGTTGGGTATTTGGAGATTTTTTTTTATCTTATCTCTTCCAGAAAAGTGGTTGCCAGGTTGATTGTATTCTTTTGTTTCAGGCTCCTATTAAGAGATATTTAACAACCTATGTCTAAGAGAACTTTCATTCATAGAGTTGCTATGAGTTGTTTATGACTCGACGGCATTTAACAACAACATCAACAACAGGCCCAAGAGGTCGTGGTGTACAGTATTATGGACAAATCTATTTGCAATAGTTTCCCAAGAAAAGACATGCTTATGAAAGCAGTTTTAATATATCTACCAAGAACAGAATGTCATCCAATTGTTCTAGAACCATGCTATAATCTAAAAAAAATGCCAAAAGTTCTATTTAATCAATCATGTAATCCCAGATATATAGTCTACCAACATTCAGTAAATTCCGTTTTAAGATTAAAAAAAAACCCAACCAACCAACCAACCTCCAAAGCTGTCAGTATGACTTGACTGTTCTCATTTCTTCACCTACATAAGCAACTTAATTACATTTAAGTTCCTAACTGCATGGGGGTTTTCCCTTCTTTGTTCAGTGGTCATTCTTGGTTTCAGAACAGCTCCGATCTGAAGCCCTGGGGTGTAAATGCATGCCATCCTCCTCAAACGGCTTCCTTGAAGAGTCTGTAAGACTTGTGAAACCATCAAATTCAAACCTGCACCCAAACAGGAACCGTGTCTACGTGCACTCCCACCGCCAGGCCTCAGCTCACCTCTCTCTGAACTCTCAACTTTCCACAGGGGCCCCACCATCTGTGGTCAACTTCACTAGTCAGGAGGTTCACTCCTACGTTGATTCTGAATTCCACCCCGACCGCTATGGGCCAAATCTTTCCCCTGAGGTGACAATAAAAAAGGACAATCCTTGTCCAAAAGGAAAATAAGCA